AAGAAATTATATAAATATAGGATCCAGACACACCACTGCCTTCTCTAGGTCCAAGCTCATTTAAGATGGACATCAAAATTTAAAATTATTTTTGGAAATCATGGATGCTGTATCCTCTGCCATCCAAATGACATCTTTTTTGGGGAAGACCTTGCTTATTTCAGGAAAACAATGCCAAACCACATTCTGCACATATTACAACAGCATGGCTCTGTAGAAAAAGAGTCCAGGTGCTAAACTGGCCTGCTTGCAGTCCAGATCTGTCACCCATTGAGAACATCTGGCGCATCATAAAATTAAAAATATGACAAAGGAGACCCTGAACTGAGCAGCTGAAATTGTATATCAAGCAATAATGAGAAAACATTTCACTTTCAAATCTACAGCAATTGGCCTCTTCAGCTCCCAAATGCTTATAGAGTGTGGTTAAAAAAAGAGGGGGTGCAACACAGTATTAAACATGCCCCTGTCACAACTTTTTTGAAATGTGTTCGTGGCATCAAATTCCAAATGGGCATATATTTTTTGAAAAACAATAAAGTTCCTCAGTTTCAACATTTGATATGTTGTCTTTGTATTATTTTCAGTTAAATACAGTAACTCATGACTGAAGTCTGCAATCTTGCTAATGCAATAAGGCTATGTGAATATCATTGGGCAGTTTGTGGCTTATTATAGTGCAGCCTGCTGTTGTGAACTTTTAAATGTAGGGTTGTCATGTTATGTACCATCAATAGTTAGAGTTTAATATTATGATTATTATATTCCTTTTTTCATAATATCTTTACCAGAATGGTTTAAAGTCGGGCTTCAAAATGCATTTCAGACTCATAACCAACTTGATATCACGCTTCCTGGTGCTCCTATGTACCGTCAATCTTATGGACTATAATTCCCAGAATGCATCTGCCAGTCACATGATGCAGCCAGTTAATCAGCATCCAGTTTCCAGATCACTGTCACCTGAGATCTAATTCTACTCACTTGTGTCTACTAGTATTTATACCTGTTTGTTTGTCACAGACTTTGCAAAGTATTGCCTCTGTGTCTTCCAGTGCATACTGAGCATTTGTCTTTTGTCAGTCTCTCTGTTATGACCTTATTTTACTCACTACTGTTTATCAGATTTTGCCTTTTGGTTATGGTTACCGGCCTGATTGTTTTCTGGCTTACACCCTTGCTTGTTTATTTACTACCCTATTTGCCTAGTCCCATGTATCGTATTTTACTTATTCTATTTTTGACCTGGTCTGGCACTGACCCTACTCTTTTGGATCATCCTCTTTTAAATAAACCTTATGGCTTATTTTACATCCGCGAGTGTCTTGTTCATTCACCCAGCGTTATACTTGGAAAATTGTTTTCCTTTGAATGGTCCTATGTCTTCTAATGCTTATTTAAAACAAATTATTGAATATTCCATTTTGCCACTACAAACGAATACAATAATAACGTCTCCAAAATATGTGGTAGTGACTGTTTCGCTACTTAAGCTGATTTTTATCATAACTCAAAAATACTAGCCAGTACAGGACTAGCAAACAAAGCTTTGAAGCTTTGTACACATATAAAATTATATATAAAATTATAATATTGTCATTAAAGCACAAACAAGTGTATTTTATTGCAGAAAGTATGTGTTTCAGTAGTGACAATTCTTAATGTTACACACTGATTTTCAGACTTCAGGACACATTTACTTCAAAACAATGGGATCTTATTGTTCACCGTGTGACCATGAGGGACAGGGCTGCAGTCTTACTTCCTGCTGCCCATGGACTACAGCTCTGTGTGCTTTGGTAGCAACATGAAAACAGTGGTCATGTATTTTTTGGAGCATTTTTTGAATTTTTTTTTATTTAAAAATTTAAATCATCACAAATGTAAATCTATTAAAGAAATAAAAATGATATTTTAAAATATAACATTTAAAAATGAAATAAGAAATGTAAGTATTATTTTCTCAAGTTAAATTTCAGGGGTTGCGATTTGGGACGGCCACCTCCCAGTAGAAAGTACCCTACAAATGATAATTTTGTACATATTTAGCTTATAACTATCTCTATCAATGCCTTTGAAATAGATAATTTTTATAAAAGTCTGAATAGTGTTACTGTGGGACCACAATTTGAACTAATTCAGTCCATTTATGTTCTTGGGAGTATATATGCAAATCCTTACATTATACATGCAAAACGTATCAATGCTATATTATGTTATACAATGTTATTTTATTTTATTCTGTTGAATTGTGTATAATATATTACTGGCAGAAAGTGTCTAATGTAGAAATTTGTTTTTTAAACCAGCACTTCACTTGTATTTTCACCATGTTAGCCAGTTATGTTAGTGTCAGGGTAGCAGGGTTAGGTCAGCACTATTTGGGATTTTTATGTCAGCTCTAGTTTAAATACATATTAGCTTTTAACAGGCATGTAGGTGACATTCTTTACTTTGTATTTCTCGTTTTTTAAGTAACACTTTATTTAAAGACTTAAAGTCTGTCTTTTATTATTATAGTGTTAGCCTCATATCTGGTTAGCTTCTGCTGCCTGCTCAGCCTACAAAAGCCTGTAATGAAAAGAATATTTCATATAAGTCTGCAAGTCTGTTAGGAGCAAAAAGTAATGTTTACCTAGCAGTTTGTCATCTGGTTGCATTTTATATGCACAGATTTCAACTCTAACAACTGGGCTTTTTCAAGGAGTCAATGTGGCAAACAGCCACATTCACATGTCAGCTCTGTGCTATTTATACTTGTAGCATTGTTGTTCTTGCTGCAATACTTGATCTTCACTTGGCTGTACTGATAGCCGCAAACTGCACATTGTCTCAGAATGACTCAGAGACATTCACTAGTCAAAACAATAACGTAAAAAGTAAGCACATTTTCTCTGACTTTGTTAAAAAAGGTAAATGACAATTTGTTCCTGCCAAAATCTCAAAACACAGTGGTCAAGTTAAAAATAATATATTATCATATATTATCATCATAATATCACATTAACATATGTAATATTGGCCTAAAATGACACTATATATTTTACACTTTGCACAAAGATGTGAACAATATGTTGATTATGCTCAGTTATAGATAATCTCCTCAATATGCACCAATTATGCAACTAGAGGGAATGCAAAGAAACATATTCCATATCATATCTATCTATCACAATACTTATAAACTGCTTAATAAGATTAAATAAAATAATTAGCTAACCATTTAATTAATTGAATGAATAAAGAGTTTTGTTCCAAAATGCATTAACACCACTTTTGTAAATATTTGATTTTTTTATTACATACATAAGTTGTGGGGAATGAGCATAACTCACATAAGTAATGTCATTATATATGATGATTATATATGAATATATGATGATTAATACACCCTTTATTAGAGAAATAAAAAATTTATTTTTAAATTATAGGCCAGCTGTTCATATCCCAAACTGTTGTAATGGATATACAGCATTTTGGAATTAAACTATTTAATCAATACCTACATTACATTTAGCAATGCATCATACTATATTATATATTGTTAAAGAATGAACCCTTATTGTAAAATACTGCCTGTGAGTTTAAAAACAAGATTTGCACTGGGACACCAAAGCCTACAGCAAGTCTCATAGCACATGTGCACAGACTACCAGTGAGCTCACTGGAGAAAGCAGCATGGGAGTCAGAGCTCAAAAGCAGGGTAAGGATATCAAAACATAAAAAGGGGCTGTATTACAGAAACATCTCTGAAATCTTTTTAGTCACCATATCAACTTCAGTTAGGACTGAATTTAGGACAATAGCTATTAAAATACAACAGTTCCTAAGTCCATAATCATATCCTAACTCCTAGCTATTAACAGATATATTAGTAAAAGGTAAAATGTGTTCTAACTTAAGATTTTTCAAAATTTTGTATTGCAGAAGCAAATCTTATTTTAATTTATGATTTTATCTTATCTTACAGCATCTTATCTCACCACGAGCAAGGAACTCTACTCAATCGACGTCGACAGTCAGTTGTCATGTTTGTGATATGCACGCAGCTGAAATGTAAACATGGTGAAGATCATGTCTGCAGTGTCTGAATTTCTTAAAATGCAGAAAAATGCAGACATTTTTTTCAAAACTTCTCACAAGTGAAACCACCATTTTGCGGTATTGATAAATGTAATGTGCAAAAAACAGACGTTAGGACACCACTGGGTTTGTCCTAAAGTTAAGACAGCATTTAGGAAATTTTATCTAGTTAAGATGGTTCTGTAATACTGTTTTCTTATGTGGAGTTAAGATAAGACTACGAACTTAGGAACTGTTATTCTGTAGTAGCTACTGTCCTAAATTGAATCCTAACTAAAGTTCTTATGGTGAGTAAAACAGACAAGATTTCAGAGTTAGGATATTTCTGTAATACGGCCCCTGGACATAAACCCAGAAAGCACAACTCCTTCATCACTGCTGAAGTGACATAAGTAGAGCCTCTTGCATGGAGCCATCTCTTTATTTTTAAAGAAGAATACAGCCAATCACTGTGCTCATCCTGAAAAGCCTGCAGGGTCAGATTCATTCTTTTTTTAAATAACAGCCTCCATTATCGCTGCTCCTATTATAGATCTTTTGCACTGTCCAAATTTCAACAGACTAGAAAATCACCATTCCCTGACTTCTTTTTAAGAATGGTGACAAAAGCAACCCTAATTGCTTCAGGGCTATTTCCATCTTAAAGTGTATTTCCAAGGTTCTGGGGAAACTAGTCAATAGCCAACTTAATGATTATCTAAACAATAACAACATTTTGTATGTATAAAGTCAGGCTTTCAACTTGGTTAGGTTTTAGGTTAATCAAATAAAAAGTAATTGCATTAACATTTGTAGATTTTTTTTTAAATCTAGTTTGCTGCAGAGGTTCACTTCTTATTACTTCAAAAATCAACAAAATATGTAACTTAATCAAAAAAAAAAGTTTTAAAGCAAATCAGAACTCATGTTATACATACCATTGTTGTTTCTATAATGGATCCAAAACTGTTGATGAAAATGTTGCAGGTGACATTTACTGGTGGACCTGTAGAAAGAGTAAAAAACAGGTATTTCGATTAACCATTTAAAATCCCAGGTTTATTAGACCCTAAGGCGTATTATTAAGTAACTACAGGGACTTCAGTGCACAACAGGAGGCCCACTGTCCCACACAGTTTGGTGGTTCCCCCACTCAAACAAACCCACTAGATCTAACAATTAACAAATGAGTGTGTTTGAGAAGGAAAATCCCTCCAGGAATGGAATTGTGCACCTCAGGAATGTGCACAAGCAATTCTCTTGAGGCAAGTTCCACAGAGACATGGAAAAACCTAACAAAATGAACAGCAAATGAAAATGCAATGTTTATGACAAACAGCCAAACTTTGTGGCTTTTGTTCAAAGAATAAAAAGAAATCCATGTAAATATGTAGAAAGTCTTTATAACTGTAAAAAGCAGCTCTGTTAGTGCTTGTGATTATTGGAGTAACAATTGCTTTATATTCTCTTTGTTGTATTACTTTGCTTCCTCTGCTAAATTCTATATGTGATGCACAAATGTCATAAAGAGAAAAAAGTCAGCGGGGTCCACTGATTAATCGGAAGCTTGGCTTGGTTGGAGGAAATACTCTCCTCTCTGTACAGGACCGAGAGCTACAAGCTGTAGGAATACTATATTACCTGCCATTTCATCTCTGACAGGAGAGCCTATATACCTCTTTTTCTCAATGTCTTTTGTGAAACCAGATAAAACAAGTTAGGATTCCCTTACTGAGGAGCTAACTTGTGAACAGTTAACGTTATACCAGCTTCAACCACAAAGAGAAATTCAACAGAATGCATGAGTGCAAAGTGTTAAGTATGATAGTATGAGCTGCTTTTGTATCAGTGCAGCTGTTAGCTGAACACTGGTAGGTAAGCAGCTAACTTTTGCTATTGTTGTGAAAAGATAAGAAAAGGAAGTTTCATTCAACTGTTCTGTCACACCACTAATTAAATTAGGGTGACCATACACCCCTTGCCCAGATATCCTCTTTTTTAGGACCTAAAAATGAGTTGAGATTTCTAAATGGCCTAAAATGACAGGACTTGTGCTTTTAAGTTGACACTTGCTGTCTCGAGACTGCTAGTCTGCAATCCATGCAACCTTCTTGCCCAAGTGCTCTCTCACAGTAAGAGTGCTGATAAACATCAAACTCAAGCAGATTTATATGGTCTTTTAGCATAATTTATGCTGCATTCATCATGTTTGCAACTAAAATATAACTATAACTGCTTCCCAGCTAAAAGTTACAAGGTTATGATGTGGGGTAAAAGAAGGTTAGCATTTGTATATTGTTTCAAAAAACAATACAATTCCTCAGTTTCAACATTTGACATTGTACTATATTAATTTTAAATATGGGTTTAAATGATATGCACATCATGGCATTCTGTTTTTATTCAAATTTTGCACAGCATCCCAATTATTTAGCTTTTACTTCAATGTATTCAGATGCTTCACTTCTTTTACTTCTCTGATAGCATGCAATGTGTGTATCCTGTCAAGCTAACCATCGGAGTGCTAGTTTATTTTAGACAGAATTTGCATCCCTGTTACTTGCAACCCTGTTAACCATTTTTTACTTTCAATTATTTGATGATGTATACTGTATATTTTCTACTGTATTAATATCAACTAAATGGGGAATATGATCTCTGTGTTTAACCCTGTTACCTAGTCATTTATTATGAAAAGAGCTCATATAGTTTCTGATTTTACAGCCTGAGGTGGGAAAATAACATTAATGTTAAGCACTTACTTTGATTTCTACTGTGTCCAAAAAAAAGAAAAAGGTACAACCCCAATTGGGTTTGTATGTTTTTAAGAGTTTCAAGGCATAAAATGAACTCTATCCATGGTAATTTCTTCATGGTAATTCCACTTTCCTGGTGGTGTGTAATTAGGCTGTTTTGTTTTCAAGCTGATTTTCCAAATGGAGATGTATGAACATTTGTAATGACATTCCTCTGCCCTAATGGCACATACTTTGAACGGAGATCTTGGCCCTTTCTTGGCAGCTCAACCTACTGCACTGACAGGGGAATGATTAAATTTGCTTTTATCTTCCACAGGTATAGGTATGTGGCCACTTTTATTACCAGCAAGGCCCTTGCCCCCTGGTCTAACTGATTCTAGTTTCTCTGGCTTTCTAGCTTGAGGAGCTACTCTTGTGTATACCAGTGTGACCAGATGATGGATCTCTTCAACAAACTAACTCTGTGTTCAACCCTGTTGCTCTTTCTGCTAGTGAAGCTTGCTTAGGCACCAGCGTGCAGTGTCTGGCCATATTACTGTTTTAGCTGTTATATAAGCAGGGCTGCTTTAGCTTGCTGGTAGATATTGCCCTTGCCCCTCCTTGTGAGTTTGATTCTCATTGGCTAATACAATATCGCCTCTCATTTTATTACATTTTAGTGGTCAATGTCTGTAGTATAAAACCGATTTTTATATTATAGTATTATTCATGATGCCTCCAATGCTAGGTAGCCAGTGTAGCAGTAGCTATCAAGAACATGAGGAAATTCTGGGTACAGAACATCTGTGCTGCACATATGACTTGGAAGTGCTCTTCTCTGTCATGGAAAGACAAGTACGTTGCATTATTTTTAGCTTGTAATGGACACTATTTTGTTTCGGTGTTGTAATATCAAACATACACATTCCAATTTCCAAAACTTTTTATTGTGAAAAAGTGTCCTTGAGGTCAAAGGCTATTAATAACCTGACCAGCGTGCTGGGCTTTTAACATTTGGTTGGAATGTAAATTGACACTGATTTGTGCCAACCAGTCTCTTTCATAGCTCTCTGGATTGCACTTTCATAAATGTAAATATAAACGTAAGGTTTTTTTCTTCCATAATCAGTGTATGTATGCATGTTTAGGACATGATAAAATCATACAGAGATTGTAGATATGACAAATAACATATTAAACAGTAAGGCTCCTTTCATGGGATGAATAAGAAATTGTAGACTGTCCATACATTATATTTTTATGGATTGCAAACACCTCCTTCTGTCTCACCTTTAAAGTTGGGTCTAATGCATGCATCATAACCAGAGGTTCTTCCCATCAGCTTGTCAAGGAAGTCAGATGGGGACATTGGCTTTGTGGCTGGTCTGTTCTGGAATTTTATCTCCTCTTTACAGGAGCCTGGTCTGCAAGTGTGACAGAGACAGAGACAGAGAGAGAGAGAGAGAGAGAGAGGGAGAGAGAGAGAGAGAGAGAGAGAGAGAGAGAGAAATGAGAAACAGAGTTAAAGCTGATGGCGAATTTAAGAAGAAAAGCAGATTTGATAATGATAATGAGGACAACATAACATGATAACAACAGGAATCAAATAGCATCACCTGTCTTGTGCCTTATTCTCGTTACTTTCTTTTAATACTACATGCAACAAATAACTTTTCACCTTAATGGAAAAGATGGGTTTTCACAAATGAGGGTGGTGGGGACAGATTTATAACTGAACTGTTGTAAATAATCATCATCATGCAACTCACTGGCTTTCTATCCTATCCTTTTTGACTATTTGACTATATATTATTTCAACCAAGATTCTGGCCTTATCATAATACTAAGACTGCTGTAATTAAGATCATTAATGATATTCATTTAAATTCTCTGAAAACATATCAGTTCTACTACTGCTTAATATCAGTGCTGCCTTTGATAAAACTGACTATAAAATTTGTATAGATAGACTTGAGAACTGGGTTGGACTCTCAGAAACCTGTAAAATTTCATTGACGGCATTAGTTCTAGCAGGACTGATTACTGTAACGGTCTCCTAACTGCACTCCCAAAAAACAGCTTTAGTTGATTCAAAATACAGCTGCCAGAGTTCTCACTATAGGAGTAAAAGAAAGGAAGTCAAGTCAAGTCAAGTCAAATTTATTTATATAGCGCCTTTTACAACAGATGTTGTCACAAAGCAGCTTTACAGAGAATCCGGGTCCACGTCCCCAGTGAGCAAGCCTCGGCGACAGTGGCAAGGAAAAACTCCCTCAACAGGAGGAAGAAACCTCGAGAGGAACCAGACTCAAAAGGGGAACCCATCCTCCTCTGGTTGACAACAGATAACAGCACAGACACAAAACAGTATAAATGGATACAGTTTTACAGTTCTGTACAGTATTGGGTATGGAAGCGACAGCACCACACAGGATGGAGCACTGGCCACATCAGACCCCCCTGGGACGGGATTGAGTGGTGTTCACATCAGACCCTCTTAGGACGGGCAGCCGCTCAGCTTAGGGAAAGAGAGGGGGAGGGGGGGAAGAGGGGTGGGAGCGGGGGATAAGGGGGACAGATAGTTAGTTCTGTTATGGGTGACAAAACAGAACAGAGAGTTGACAGAGTGCAGCGGTAGGCCTGGCTATGGCAGCATAACTAAGAGGGAGAGCCAGAAGGTGACAGGTACTAATAATGAGCACCTTGTGATCTAAGTGGGCGTGTTGGTTGATAGTAGGAACTAAGGTCACTGAGGTACTGAGGAGCAAGGCCATTCAAAGCTTTATACGTCAACAGAAGAATTTTGTACTCGATGCGGAATTTAACTGGCAACCAATGTAAGGTACACAAAATTGGGCTAATGTGGTCAAATTTCCTGGTTTTGGTGAGAACTCTGACTGCAGCGTTCTGGATTAACTCAAGCTTGTTAAGGTTTTGGCTAGAACAACCAGAAAGCAGAGCGTTACAGTAATCTAACCTGGATGTAATAAAGGCGTGAACTAACGTTTCTGCACCCTGCGACAGTGCATTTCTTAATTTAGCGATGTTACGCAGGTGGAGGAAAGCTATTCTGGTAATATTGGTAAAGTGCTCATCGAAGGCCAGATCGGCCAGGCTTTTTACAGATGTGCCTGGTGCAATTGAGAAACTTTTGAGATTAAGAGTTACGTAGGCAGATTATTCCTAGCAGCTTTTGGACCAAGAAGAAGAACTTCTGTTTCGTCCGAGTTTAGTAAGAGGAAGTTACTTGACATCCAGTCTTTAATGTCTTTTACACAGTCTTCTATCTTATTAAGTTCAATTTTGTCCTCTGGTTTAGCTGAAATATACAATTGTGTAGCATCGGCGTAGCAGTGGAAACTGATGCCATGTTTTCTAATGATGGTACCTAGTGGTAGCACATATAAGGTAAATAATATAGGTTCTATGACAGAGCCCTGTGGAACACCATACTTTACTCTTGTGAGGGCTGATGATTCACCATTTACATAGCAATCACTAAGGTAAGATTTGAACCACGAAAGAGCTTTACCTGTCACTCCTACTAGCTTTTCAAGCCTGTCTAATAGAATGGAATGGTCTATTGTGTCAAAATCTGCACTAAGATCAAGTAAAACCAGTAGGGATATGTTTCCTTTGTCAGCGCATAATAAAAGATCATTCACAACTTTCACTAACGCTGTTTCAGTACTATGGCGAGGCCTGAAGCCAGACTGAAGTTTTTCATGTATATCATTCCTATGCAGATGGGAACATAATTGTTTTGCCACGGCTTTCTCTAAAATTTTTGATAAAAAGGGAAGATTTGAAATAGGTCTAAAGTTTGATAACTCAGAGGGATCAAGATTAGGTTTCTTAATTAGGGGTTTCATTACAGCTAATTTAAGAGACTTTGGAATATAGCCAAAGCTGAGAGAAGAGTTTATTATAGATAGAAAAGGCTTGGTTATTTCTGGCAAAACATCTTCAAGTAAACCTGTAAGAATTGGATCTAGTATACAAGTTGTTGTTTTTGAAGACGAAATAATTTGGACAAGCTCTGTTTGTTGGAGTAAAGTAAAAGACTCCAGCATCTCTGTAGTGGTTATACTGCACTCTAGATCTAGATTAGGTTTATAGGACACTGCACTTGTTAGCTGTGCGTTTTGAATTTTGCGCCTAATCGATTAAATTTTATTATTAAAGAAGTTCATGAAGTCATTGCTGCTGTAGGCAGAGGGAATCTGGGCTTCAGTAGCTGCTTGGTTATTAGTTAATTTAGAGATTGTACTGAATAGTAGTCTTGGATTATTTTCAATCATTGACGAGAGATAGGCTAAACGTGCTGACTTTAGTGCTTTCCTATAGTCTATAAGACTCTCCTTCCAGGCAGATTGGAAAACCTCAAGTTTAGTCTCTAATCACCTAACAGTCTGTTTCATAGCTCGAGTATGATCATTATGCCATGGGCGAGCCTTTTCTGCCTTATTCTTTTACTTTTTAGTGGAGCCAAAATATCTAAAGTAGAGCGAAAGGTGTCCTCCAGACATTCAGTCAGCATATCTAATTCATTAAGTTCAGACGGACAGCTAATTAAGGATGAAAGATCTGGAAGGTTTTCAATAAAGCTATGGGGTGTAGACGATGTTATAGTACGCTTAGCACTATAGCGTGTGGATGGACATATGACTAAAACTGATTTCATATGAGATTAAGTAGCGATCTGACACTGCTGTGGTCTGAGGAAGGATGGCCAAATGCTTAATGTCTATACCTAAGGTTAATATTAAGTCTAGAGTGTGGTTACAGTAATGAGCAGGCCCCATAATATTTTGAGTGAAGCCAAAACAGTCTAAAATAGATACAAATGCCTTACTTAGCGGATCCTGTGGTTTGTCTATGTGCATATTAAAATCTCCTACAATTATTACTTTATTCAAGATTGTTATTAAACTAGATAACAGGTCAGTAAATTCCTGTAAAAACTCAGAGTATGGCCCGGTGGCCTGTAGATTATGATGAGCGAAAATGAGCTCTCATTTGTTCCTTGATTGCTAACATTGAGAAACTAAATTTCAAAAGAAGAGAAACTATGGTCTGCTTTCTGGTTTATTCCTAAAGTATTGGTATAAATGGTTGCTACGCCTCCACCCCGACCATTTAAGCAAGGACTATGTACATAGCTATAGCCTGTCGGGGTGGCTTCATTTAAAGCTAAGTACTCTTCAGAGTACTGCTTATATGCTGTAGCAATATGAGCCAAGCAGAACTCTCAGGTCGTTAGGAATTAGTCAGTTAGTCCTACCTAGGTAAACACTAAACGTGGACAAGTAACATTTAGCTATGCTGCTGTTAAATGAACCCAGTTGATAGAGAGCATTTGAAGAGCCTTGACACCTAAATACCTTTAAATCTAGACTCTAGGCTGAAAATGTTCCTATTTAAGGCTTTTAGCTCAGTTTAAAACACTGTTCTTCTACATTGTAATGGCACTCTCTTATCCAATTTAGTTTTTGTTTTTTTAATGTAACGTTTATTTCTTCTTGCATCATATTACATACTAAGGTTTACTACTCAGTTACTACAGGAACCTCAATGCAAACTAGTTGAGCTATTCTAGTTTACAGACTACCCACTAGCAGGCCCTGGCCATGTAAGCGTTGTTCATAATCCTGTTTTAATCATGTTTTTAATTTCTATTCTCTTATATCTTTTGCAAAGCACTTTGAATGACCGCAGTGTAATAAAAGGTGTTATATAAATAAACTTGTCTTGCCTTGCCTCGATTACCACTGCAAGGGAGAAAAAGCTCCTGCTCCAGCAGGGGTCACTCTGTTTTTGACAGCTCTTTCAGGCCACAGCAAAACAGTCTGGATCCCTCAGGCCTGGCTTTTGATGAATCTCTTTATCTGTGGTTGCCACACTGGAACACAGCTGATTTCCTGCTATGCTTTTGATTAAATTGTTAGTGAACCAGTTATGACCCCCTCTGCTGTGAGCTGCGGACAACCACTACAATAGCTTTCCCAAAGCCCTGGCTCTCTCTGTACTACACTGTTGCAGCAACTTTGGCTGAGTTTGGCTTAGTGTTTCTCGCATTGTGCAGTGTGGGTAATATATCTGATCCATTCATACCAGTGCAACACACACTAATATGCCACCACCATGTCAGTGTCACTGCATGAATTGGAATGATGCACCACCCTAATAACACCATCATTTAGAAACCAAACACAGTGAATACGTATCTAAACTTGTCAAATCGAGCCAGAACTCTGTTTGCAGTTTTCCTCTCTTGAGCTTGACCTGCAGCACACAGTAGCTGCCAAATCAGCCTTCTCATTAGGCACGTCAGAAAAAAACAATCTGGCTGGTAAAATCTTGTGGGCTGTGGAAGTTTTTGTGGGTGTTTGTGTGGGCTGCAAGTTTGGGAACCCTGGGAATT